GTTAATGATTTTGTTGGAGGATGACTTACCTGGACCCTTGTCCAATGGGCAAGTAGCCGCTTTAAAGTTACTTGCCCAGCAAGAAAATCTACTAGTCCCGGACCACCAGACAGAACTTTTTTTTGAACCCTGTCACCTGTAAATTTTTCTACTTGTAGTAGTGCTTACTTCCTGGAACTATTAGCATTGTAAAAGGTTACTGAGAGCCTGCAAGCCAGCTCTCATATTGTGGCAAACGAAGGGAGCTGCGAGAGAATGTGTGAGCACGCAACAAAGCAGCAAGGGGCAGAGGAACTTTCTTTCCCGAACCCTCACACTCGGATTTCCTTTTGCAAGCAGTTCTTTTGTGACTGCACATGACTCCCCCCAAATGGAGAGCTTGCTCGAATCTTGGTTACTGATTGACCTACACTGGATTCAGACTAAAAGTAACCTCGTGGTCTTGTATCTCGGTGCTCCTTGAAGTTCTCTTCCCAGTTTTCCTCTTCCATTACTTCTTCCACTTTTTTTTCTTCACTGTCCTCCTAAACAAACAGAACAACAAGTCATCAGGGCCAAGTCTTACAAGTTAAAACATAGCCCTCTGTTTGATAATCATAAGAGTAATGGGCATTTGTTTGTAAAGAGCACCATTACCTCTGTTAAGGGGCAAAAGAGAGAATGGTCACACCTCTACTAATTATTTATATGTTACAGGTCAAAATTGTATTCAGGTAAAAAAATCTTTTAACCTAGGTTGGTTCTCAATTTCTTTTGTCTCCGAGCCCTACCTATTAATGAATTAGGGTTAGACAACAAAGAAAATTGAGAATCAACCTAGCTAGGTTGAAAAATTTTAACCTGAATTTATTTTTGACCTGTAACATATACATATAATTGCCAAATCACTATCAAAATGGGAAATCCTTTAAGTGATCAGCATCTTGTTTTTCCTTACAATATCACTGTTAAATCAAACACAAAGGTCAAAGAAAAGAATTTCTCCTTTCTAAAGGACAGTCAGTGTGGACAATTTAGGTAATGACATTACTTAAGATTCCAGTTTCCTGGTTGCTTCATTTCGTTATTCTTACCGGCTTGGGCTCATTTTCGGACTTTTCCTCTTCATTTTCGCCTGGAGGATTCCCTTCATCTTCTGAGTCCTTGCGAACTGGAACTTTTCTGGTTTAAAAATTATGAAAACATTTTGTTCATACCTACACTATGGAGATGAGCTGCTGCAAGGTCTGGGGACTTCTACTGTAGGCTAGCGAATGCACAAGGTTCAATTTTATCCTTGGTTTAACTCCAGGGGGGGAGGTACTTCTTAGTAATGGGCTAAAGGGGATATGCTGCTGGATGAGCGGGGTCACATTTTCATGACTAGATATATAATGGGGTTGCATTTTCAATAGAGTAACTAGAATGGGGGCTCTTTTCTTGTGTATATGCTTTCTTTTGTTCCAATAAATTTGCATAGAAGCTGGCCACATGAGTGAAAATTCTCTATTAATGTTGCTAGGTTAGCATCCATGGTTAACATTTTGGCGAGCATTATCAAACAAAAGGCATTGATTTGTGGATAAAGAAAAAAGAAATGTATATCAAGGGCAGAAGATAATGTTCATATACCAGTACTGTATATTGAAGGGCTTGCTCAACTTGAGCTAATAAAATATCATACTACTGCTTTAACAACTTACCTTTTTTCTCTGTACTCTTCAAAGTTCATAAGGCCTCTTGAGTTCACCGAAACTGCCACTTCATTGTCAACCAAGAAATCAAGACGAAAAGGCTCATATGTCAATATAACACTGTTATTATTAAAACCAATGTGAAGACTTTCATCATCTTGTTTAAGCTTTTGATAGCTGGGAAATAATAAAGTAAAAAAATATTAGAAATTAGTTATATCAGTCTTGTTCTACACCATTGCTCTAGTTTTGACCCTTTACACAGCGATATCCACATACAAATTCACTCAAGATATTTCTATACATTTCCTTAAAGAATTGGTTGAAAATGTGATAAGAGGTCAAAGCATTTTCCTTAAGGTGTTCATCTTCTTACTTCTCATAACTTTTTTCCTTGGTTATCATTAGTAGAAAACTGGTTTTGATCACTTTCGGGACTTGAAGGAGATTGGGATTAAGGGGATTGAACATACATGAATGGAATACATGTAAATATTATATGGCTGAATCCGTGACCAGGCAAGATGAAGTTAAGCCGCATTCTGATTTGCTACCACAGCGGGCTCATCTGGCCTCCTGCGTTGGTCCTGTAAGTAAAAGTTTTCTTTAAAATATAATAAAGCCAAGCTTCAGTCAAAATAGCTGAATATTGGCCTTGATCTATTTTTTTGTGTTTTTATTGACAGAGACAAAAAAATGTAAAAACAAGCTTGGCCAGTATCCTGCTATCCTGACCTCAAGCTTGGTCAATGCGTATAGATTAATCCTCACCTTATAGTTACTGGTTCTTTGATTAAGACATCCTTGACCTCATATCTTGGTCTAATTGGATTCACCTCAGTTATTCTAAATCTAGCAGTGTTCTTTTGTAAAGTTTGAAGTTTAAGGTTAAGCAATAAATTTGATTTCTTGTTTAGTAAATGAACATCAAAGGAAGACTCTGTAAATGCAATGGAATCCTTGACTACTAAATATGGTGAATCTCCTGGTTGAATTGCTCTATTATTACTGTAAAGAAAAAGAAGAAAGAAAGTTATGAAGTTGCTATACGGTTGACTCTCTCTTAACAGACACCTCTATAGGACAGACACCTACGTACAACAAACTCCTAGAGAGAGTTATTTAAACAGAGTTTAGCCAGTGTTAAACAAAACCACGTTCCATTTGCTGATAGCTTTAATGTAAACACCATTTATTGTAAACACAATGGACTGGGGAAGCATTTATCTTCTTTAAATAACCCAGAAAGGAAGAGATCTTGAAGTCCAAAGATTTCCTAAACTGCGGTCTAAGTTATACTTTGGTTAAATAACCGATCCCTAGAGTTGGTCCCTGCCTTTCTTTACTCCCTCTATTTTACTCTTTATAACATGGACCTCACTCTTAAACAGACAGTTATTGCTGATCCCAAAGATGTCCATCTTAGAGAAAATTGACTGTATTTCTGATAAAAAAGCAAAGCTGAAGCAATAGTCTCAAGTAATGAGCTTAACAGTTACCCCTGTTCCTTAGAAGTCTAACCTCAGCCAGTTAGAGTGTCACAAATTTGCTGTCTAATGGCCCAAGGACACAGGAGGAACCCCTCAGGCTAGCATATTTTAGTGAGTTGTTCGATGGGTAAGCAACATTTATCAAGTTAAAATGGGGTAAATGAAAAAGGGGGGTTGGTAGGCCTGCATGACTTCTACAGGCTAGTAAACTTCAGCAACATCATACCCAAAGGGAAAGCCCACCTGGAGGAGGGCAGGGTTAGAAATGATAGATGGCCAAAAAATAAACCTTTGGGTATTGCATGTCCTGTGTTCACCAACAAACTGTGCCCGGGTCAGGGGGGCTTACTCAACAAAGTTTTATTAGGGAAGGCTCCGCTCCAAGGTCCAGTCCGTGGTGAAGTGTGAAAATGCCAAATAGTTTTCGAGAAGGAATTTTTGGAAGGGATGTGGGGACCCTGTGTATATGATTGTTTAAAACAACTACTTATCTCACCGGCAAAAACTACTATCTTCACATTTCTTGAAGTTATTTTTATCCACTGCATCTACTCCAGCAGTTATCCAAAGAAGAAGCAGAGGAAAGACCCCGCTAAAAGTTAAAAAAAAAAGCTTAGTAAGAGAAAAGTCCTGGCGCATTGCCTATTGATGTCAGATCATTTTACGACCGTCCACTGTAAAAACACGAGAGCCATACGGCCTAGTCCTCAAGTGGTGCATTATAAGCTCTTCAGTTTACATAACTTGGATTTAACGGTTAATTATGTAGAGAAGCTGATTCAGTACCAGTGCAGAGAGTTGGTACAATCTACTGATAACCGTAATCAGATCTGGGAGAACGAAAGAGAAACAGGAGAAATCAGAGCTAGTGCTTGAGCTTCGAGAGCCGGTTTGTCAAAATTTATTTTAGAAAACGAGAGACACGTGTCGGAATCAAGTGGGATTGCAACCTAGCGGGAAATTGGCGACCAAATGTTTGAATAATGTTGCCAAATATTTCAACAGTGGAAAACTATGATGAAAATAAGGAAATTAACAAAAGAATATCAAGAAAAAATAAAAATTTGCTCACCTTGACGCGTGTGAAATCGCCATTGAACACAAAATCCAAGGCTGAGATTCTTTTTTTCTTCAGAGGACTGGGAAAGAATTTGCGTACGCAGTGTCCCGGATGTCAAAAGGAAGCCTGTGGACGAGGACTGGGCGCTACTTTTTCATTTGGGTGCCTCTTCGAAGTAACTAACCTACCTATAGAAGTTTTGATCGCTGCATTTGAAAACTTAAAAGCTACTTAGGAGGCTCAAATAACTCACTGAAAATGGTATGTACTCCTTTCTTCACAATTAACCCGAGTTTGTTACGATTTTCAGCCTTTCCACGGCCACAGTTCTCGTAGATCGCTCGATGTTGTCTCCTCGACACAAGCGTCGTTCAATTACAAAGCTTTTCAGTTTGTTGCTGAGGCAAAGCAGATAAATATTCTGGTTTAAGAACTGTTGGGTTGTTGTTGACATTTGCAGCGGCGTTGTTGTGATTTCGCTTGTGTCGAATTGCTTAGCGTTGTTGTAATGTTTAAGCCGTGGAAATCCGCTTTCACAGCCACCGTTCATTTGAACTTGGCTTCCAAATGTTTAATGTTTATACTTGGACCCAATAATTATTCGAAGTGAACGCTTCTCGAACAACAGTTATTTGCACATACGCCAGCTTGTTCTCCGAATTTTATCACTATGTCATCGCTAGCTCAGATACAAACATTGTGCAGACGTATTCGAGTTTTTTATCTTGACTATTTCTTCTCGCGTTTCAGGGAAATGAAGCATCTCTACCGGGAGATATGGTAACACATTGTAAGTTTACTATCTGTTTCGTTTCTGCTGTTTCAAATTTGCGATTTCTACATTATCAGTCACTGCTTATTTTCCAAACAGGCGTGCTAATAACGTTGGTGATTTTTTATTTACTTAAAATTGTAGTCGACGCCGATGAAATCCGGCGACTCGGGAAGCGCTTTCGAAAACTCGATCTGGACAAATCGGGCGCTCTTTCCGTTGAGGAGTTCATGTCGCTTCCAGAACTGCAACAAAACCCTTTAGTTCAAAGAGTTATTGATATCTTCGACACTGATGGGAACGGCGAGGTGGACTTTAAAGGTTAGAATTTTATTTATAGCTTTGTGACTGTTTTATTATTGAATATTGCATCTATCAATGGACTGATCAGGCATCATGAAAATATGCGGCATAATTTCGCGCCTATTTTGGTTTGCGATTATGCAGCAGATCGATACTTCTTTCAGCATCTTTCCCTCTTGACAATTCAGTACTCATTGGAAGGGCTAAGCCCTAAATTCTTTTCGCCGTTTTAAAAATGGTTACTCCAATTACTGCGATCCTGTGCTTTAAACGCCTAATTGAAAATATGTCACGTTATCTACCATCAAACAAAACACCCCACCAACTTTGAAACTGAGTTTAGCTTGTCAGTTTTTCTACCGGATCCGTTTGTTATATGCATAAGAAATCGTTTTTCTTATTCTTTTAACTGATTAACGGAGAGAGAGCTACATTATATATCATTTGCAACAACAAGGACAAATTAAAAATTTTCTTTGTTCATGGCGAAAACAATTTTTAACTACCCTTGCCGGGTTCACCTGTTCCCAAACGGATTTTGGAAGAACAAATTCTAGGGTTTATTCTAATTGAAGAGAAATTGGTTTCCAATTATGATAGTCCAGCCCTTCTGGATTTGGCCTGTGTGTGTGACCTTAGTATGAGTGCAGCTTTTACCAAGAACAGGTGTTGTCATCGGCTATTTGCTCAGTCAAAGAATATCATAATTTCTCAACATTTACTTTATTCGTGCTTGAAAAGTCGGTCAAAGTTATTCTTGTAACTTTGTGTGCGGCTCAAAAAATGGCGTAGTATCGTGATTAGTGTTGTTTACTTGTTGATAATTTGCATTTTGTGTACATGCTAGAATCGTTCAGGAACCAGTTGATTTCAGAGCAGTTCTAAGAGAGCAGAATTTTTCTCTCCACGTAGGCGCTTTTGTAGTGCTATAATTAGAGGAAGGGAAATTGAACCTCACAGGATATTTTAGTGCATGCAACCGAATTTGAATTTTGACAGCTGTAAGCCTTAGTTCAAATGTGTTGAAAGTACATTATGTTATTTAACCTTTAAAATGGTACATGGTGAATTGTTATTCATGCAGCATGTGACACTTTGGAAGATGGGGAATAACATATTGAAATACAGTATACAACATTCACAAATCTTTGGTGATTAGCTCCCCAAGGCGAATTAATGTTTTATTGCCTCAAGAAAAAGTTGTAAAATTTTTTATTATAAGTGACTTTTTTGGCAGATGTTAGAAGTTGCTAGAGATGCTTTTGTTGTGCAGTATTTTTGAAAGAGAGCTTTACAGGTAGTTGATCCAAGTAGTGTGCAAAATTCTGCTTTTAGGAAATGTTGAGGGGTTTAGTTTACATTGACGTCAGCTTGAAAACTATTTTAAGATGTACATTTCCTCTGTCAGCAAAGCACTTAAACACTTTTAACCAGAGCAGCAGTGCATATGGTTTGAAATGCATTGATTAAAAGAAAATTTTAATAACATATTGCTGGTTCTGTCCAGCAAATGTTGAAAAGTGTGCAGAGCAGGATACCTTGGCCATCTAAATAAAAACAATCAGAAAGGTTTTCGATCTAGAGGAGCAAAAAAAGCAAGATTGTTAGAAATTTGTTTTTGATTGCAGTACCACTCAAATATATGTTGACAGTCTTGACTCAATCCTTGAAACTCAATTTTCGCATTTCAAAGTATGAATGACTTGAATGTTAAGACACCAGAATCAAGTCTCTGGTTTGTCAGGTCTGAGGTCCCCTGTGTTAAGACCCATTTAGGGTAAAATTCCGACGGGTGACTTGGCCTTCAAACATGGTTTTTCAGTCACCCTTGTTCTCTGTGGTACAGCGTATGCATTTCAGCTTCTGATCTTAAACAGAAGCCTTGTAGATAGCCCTGTACTGACTCTATTAACAGTGCTGTCTGTTGTATCTATTATATTGGAGAGAACAGTTTAAGTGTCTTAGATTAAAAGCATAATATTAATGCTTGCCGGCATACACACAGACTTCACTTCTGCTCTTTATGTTACGCTACAGTTATCTCATCTGTTTTTAGAGTCTGGCTATACTAATCTTTAGACTTTCAAAAAAATCTTGGACTCATACCAACATAGGTCACTGCATTTCTCATCACAAAATGACTGCAGAGGTTAATTTTTTTTAATTTACATTTTTTTAATTTAGTCTCATAGTTAATTTGTGAAATTAGTCAGCTTACTTTAATTATTACTTAATTTATATTTTTATTTATTTGTTATTATTTCTATTAATTTTAATGTAATTTCATTCATTTATTGTTATTTATTATTGCAAACCTAATTTTGGTGTGGTGTATTGAAATAACCATTGTTGTTATGTAAGATATTTCTATCCAACCACAAAGCACTCAGAAATACATTAACCAAACTGATCCCTAACTACTTTCAAGAATTTTGTGTAAACCCCTCACCATAGTGAGTGACCCAAGAAATTAATTCGTTTTCCTCATTAGTTTGCTGCCTAACAATCTTCTCAATATTGGTCACTTTTTGAAACCTTTTGCGGGACTACTAAATCAACACCGAGATCATGCTACAATATTTTGAACAGTATCACTAAAAAGAGCTGTCTTTACATGAAAATGCATGTTTTATTTTCAAAGGCAAAGTTACTGTACTGAAGCTATTGACTTAATTTGCCTCCTGCCACTTACACAAAGGATGAAAAAAGATTGAAGGAAAATATTGTCAAATATGTTTCAAAGCGTTACTATGGTTGATTCTTCATGCTACAGAGTAATGATTAAACGACAAATTTGCATGAAAAAATAATAGTACAAAGTCAGTAGGTTTTCTTTATTTATTCACCTTGATTTCCTAACTATATTGACACCTTGGCATGCTTTCAAGTGGAGAATAATCAGGATATCCTTTCTGGTTATAAATTATTAAAAGCTTTACAATGGAGGGATATCTTATTTTAGGCTCAAAGCAATATTTCTGGTCCCTGCTGTTGTTGTTAATTGGACAATTTTGATTAATTTTCTGTGTCCTCTTTTCTCAGCATTTATATGCAACTTATTTCATTGACAGGCAGATCGAGTTTTATTAGTTTTCTGCATAAAATAAAATGCAAGAGCCAACCATCTGGTTTTTTTATACTGTTTGTCAAGGAAATGCATTGATGTTTTGTTTGTAGATGTAAAATGTAATTTTACGCAGTCATGCTGTGCCTCCGGCAAGAGTTTTATTTTGTCTAGTAATACCTAAAGATATCACACAGTGTATTTTTATGACTTTTCAAATCACAGGAATATTGAACAGTAAATATATATGTTACTCCTTGTCAAGGCATTTTGCATTAAATTACTGTATGCACATGAAATGGAGAGGAATAACATATAATTTTACAGTTGAACACATGTATTAAGCTTTTCTGGACTACATGCATGTAAAGTACATGGCATGTATTAAAAGCTACAGAGATCTGAAATTTCATATTCACACTCAGATAAATATTCACATTTCCTTTCAAACAGAGGTTGTCTAATGACCTACTGTAGTCTGTTACCTGGCACCTGCATAATTATTTATTTTTTTTAGTATTTTTTTTGCTGTCTCTGACCTTGCTTTTGGGTAGAGTCTATCAGTCTAAGCTTTATTGTGCAAATGCATGTAGATAATAAACTTTCATTAAATGAAGTTTAGCCCTAGCTCTCAAGGGTAATGATGGGGAGTTGCTTCAAAACATGAGTGTGTTGTATAAAATAAACCATTGTTCAAGATCGTACATGTAGATGTTCACATAAAATCAGCAAAAAAATTTCTTGCAAAAGGAACTACATTAAATTTGTCTTTTTTAAAGAACTTCTCAAACTTGTTTTTAGGTTTAAATTTTGTTCAAAAGTAGACATTATTTTAAGTGATTTTTTTTACTGAACTTTCTGATAATGTTTTATTAATCATGAAAGTAGCCTATGTACAAAATTGATGGTTGTTTATTGCTGTCTGTAGAATTTATAGAAGGAGTTTCACAGTTCAGTGTAAAAGGTGACAAAGAATCAAAGCTTAAATGTAAGTACACTTTAGTTCAAAAGACAGAAATACATCAGTGTTTATGAGGGTTTTGTTATAACTATGTTTAATATCCCCTTAAAACCTACCATGACTATAGTAATTATCTGAGACCTCCAATAATGATTATCTGAGAGCAGTCAAATAAGGTACCCTAATTTGCATTATTACAGTATAACCTGAACAAAACAAGCAAGTTAATTTAGGTATAAATTGAAGACTTATGCTCTACCAGTGACCCTTCAGGTTACTTTCTTGGAAATGTCAATTTTTGAAAATACTTACAGCTGCAAAAGAAGGCTTCCCAGAGTTTCAAATTTTCAGAGCTTTGAGAACCTAACATGTTTTCTTTGAGTGCAGCCTTGTATGTACAATATATTGTACACTGTATTTATCACGTCTCCTGGTGAATTGAATTGGCACCATGCAGTAGGTGGAGTCTCAAATGTTTGTCTAAATCAGTTGGAGAAATAGGAGGGTTCAAAAATGGGGTGTAATATTATCATTAGGTGCTAATCATAAATAAATAAATAAATAAATAAATAAATACTTCATTATCCACTACCCTTATGGGGATTTTCAGGGATAATAAAACAATAATTCAAATAGAACATAAAATGTTTAATAATCCCAACTGGTAGAAGGCGAACCAGTTGGCTATTTACAAGCATGGCTGAGGATTTGAACTCGGGACGGCCAAGAACAAATCCAGCAAGTGGCCAGAGCGGGAATCAAACCCGGGACCAGCGTATTGTGAGTCCAATGCACTGACCACTTGGCCACACTGCCTCCTCAAAAGAAATCTCAAAACAGTTTAGGACTGGGGGATACTTCTTGAACCCTATAACTTTGTGCCAGTTGCAATGGTGTTGTCTGTCTTGTAGAGAGTTTTTTGTAATTATCGTTCTATGTTTTTAGTTGCCTTTAGGATATATGATATGGATAATGATGGCTTCATATCAAATGGAGAACTCTTCCAAGTTCTTAAGATGATGGTAGGAAACAACCTCAAAGAAACACAACTTCAACAAATTGTGGATTTTGAACCTCACAGGATATTTTAGTGCATGCAACCGAATTTGAATTTTGACAGCTGTAAGCCTTAGTTCAAATGTGTTGAAAGTACATTATGTTATTTAACCTTTAAAATGGTACATGGTGAATTGTTATTCATGCAGCATGTGACACTTTGGAAGATGGGGAATAACATATTGAAATACAGTATACAACATTCACAAATCTTTGGTGATTAGCTCCCCAAGGCGAATTAATGTTTTATTGCCTCAAGAAAAAGTTGTAAAATTTTTTATTATAAGTGACTTTTTTGGCAGATGTTAGAAGTTGCTAGAGATGCTTTTGTTGTGCAGTATTTTTGAAAGAGAGCTTTACAGGTAGTTGATCCAAGTAGTGTGCAAAATTCTGCTTTTAGGAAATGTTGAGGGGTTTAGTTTACATTGACGTCAGCTTGAAAACTATTTTAAGATGTACATTTCCTCTGTCAGCAAAGCACTTAAACACTTTTAACCAGAGCAGCAGTGCATATGGTTTGAAATGCATTGATTAAAAGAAAATTTTAATAACATATTGCTGGTTCTGTCCAGCAAATGTTGAAAAGTGTGCAGAGCAGGATACCTTGGCCATCTAAATAAAAACAATCAGAAAGGTTTTCGATCTAGAGGAGCAAAAAAAGCAAGATTGTTAGAAATTTGTTTTTGATTGCAGTACCACTCAAATATATGTTGACAGTCTTGACTCAATCCTTGAAACTCAATTTTCGCATTTCAAAGTATGAATGACTTGAATGTTAAGACACCAGAATCAAGTCTCTGGTTTGTCAGGTCTGAGGTCCCCTGTGTTAAGACCCATTTAGGGTAAAATTCCGACGGGTGACTTGGCCTTCAAACATGGTTTTTCAGTCACCCTTGTTCTCTGTGGTACAGCGTATGCATTTCAGCTTCTGATCTTAAACAGAAGCCTTGTAGATAGCCCTGTACTGACTCTATTAACAGTGCTGTCTGTTGTATCTATTATATTGGAGAGAACAGTTTAAGTGTCTTAGATTAAAAGCATAATATTAATGCTTGCCGGCATACACACAGACTTCACTTCTGCTCTTTATGTTACGCTACAGTTATCTCATCTGTTTTTAGAGTCTGGCTATACTAATCTTTAGACTTTCAAAAAAATCTTGGACTCATACCAACATAGGTCACTGCATTTCTCATCACAAAATGACTGCAGAGGTTAATTTTTTTTAATTTACATTTTTTTAATTTAGTCTCATAGTTAATTTGTGAAATTAGTCAGCTTACTTTAATTATTACTTAATTTATATTTTTATTTATTTGTTATTATTTCTATTAATTTTAATGTAATTTAATTCATTTATTGTTATTTATTATTGCAAACCTAATTTTGGTGTGGTGCATTGAAATAACCTGTTGTTATGTAAGATATTTCTATCCAACCACAAAGCACTCAGAAATACATTAACCAAACTGATCCCTAACTACTTTCAAGAATTTTGTGTAAACCCCTCACCATAGTGAGTGATCCAAGAAATTAATTCGTTTTCCTCATTAGTTTGCTGCCTAACAATCTTCTCAATATTGGTCACTTTTTGAAACCTTTTGCGGGACTACTAAATCAACACTGAGATCATGCTACAATATTTTGAACAGATCACAAAAAAAGTACTGTCTTTACATGAAAATCCATGTTCTATTTTCAAAGGCAAAGTTACTGTACTGAAGCTATTTACTTAATTTGCCTCCTGCCACTTACACAAAGGATGGAAAAAGATTGAAGCAAAATGTTGTCAAATATGTTTCAAAGCGTTACTATGGTTGATTCTTCATGCTACAGAGTAATGATTAAACGACAAATTTGCATGAAAAAATAATAGTACAAAGTCAGTAGGTTTTCTTTATTTATTCACCTTGATTTCCTAACTATATTGACACCTTGGCATGCTTTCAAGTGGAGAATAATCAGGATATCCTTTCTGGTTATAAATTATTAAAAGCTTTACAATGGAGGGATATCTTATTTTAGGCTCAAAGCAATATTTCTGGTCCCTGCTGTTGTTGTTAATTGGACAATTTTGATTAATTTTCTGTGTCCTCTTTTCTCAGCATTTATATGCAACTTATTTCATTGACAGGCAGATCTAGTTTTATTAGTTTTCTGCATAAAATAAAATGCAAGAGCCAACCATCTGGTTTTTTTATACTGTTTGTCAAGGAAATGCATTGATGTTTTGTTTGTAGATGTAAAATGTAATTTTACGCAGTCATGCTGTGCCTCCGGCAAGAGTTTTATTTTGTCTAGTAATACCTAAAGATATCACACAGTGTATTTTTATGACTTTTCAAATCACAGGAATATTGAACAGTAAATATATATGTTACTCCTTGTCAAGGCATTTTGCATTAATTTACTGTATGCACATGAAATGGAGAGGAATAACATATAATTTTACAGTTGAACACATGTATTAAGCTTTTCTGGACTACATGCATGTAAAATACATGGCATGTATTAAAAGCTACAGAGATCTGAAATTTCATATTCACACTGATATAAATATTCACATTTCCTTTCAAACAGAGGTTGTCTAATGACCTACTGTAGTCTGTTACCTGGCACCTGCATAATTATTTATTTTTTTTAGTATTTTTTTGCTGTCTCTGACCTTGCTTTTGGGTAGAGTCTATCAGTCTAAGCTTTATTGTGCAAATGCATGTAGATAATAAACTTTCATTAAATGAAGTTTAGCCCTAGCTCTCAAGGGTAATGATGGGGAGTTGCTTCAAAACATGAGTGTGGTGTATAAAATAAACCATTGTTCAAGATCATACATGTAGATGTTCAAATAAAATCAGCAAAAAATTTCTTGCAAAAAGAACTACATTAAATTTGTCTTTTTTAAAGAACTTCTCAAACTTGTTTTTAGGTTTAAATTTTATTCAAAAGTAGACATTATTTTAAGTGATTTTTTTACTGAACTTTCTGATAATGTTTTATTAATCATGAAAGTAGCCTATGTACAAAATTGATGGTTGTTATTGCTGTCTGTAGAATTTATAGAAGGAGTTTCACAGTTCAGTGTAAAAGGTGACAAAGAATCAAAGCTTAAATGTAAGTACACTTTAGTTCAAAAGACAGAAATACATCAGTGTTTATGAGGATTTTGTTATAACTATGTTTAATGTCCCCTTAAAACCTACCATGATTATAGTAATTATCTGAGAGCAGTAAAATAAGGTACCCTAATTTGCATTATTACAGTATAACCTGAACAAAACAAGCAAGTTAATTTAGGTATAAATTGAAGACTTATGCTCTACCAGTGACCCTTCAGGTTACTTTCTTGGAAAGGTCAATTTTTGAATTACTTACAGCTGCAAAAGAAGGCTCCTCAGAGTTTCAAATTTTCAGAGCTTTGAGAACCCTACATGTTTTCTTTGAGTGCAGCCTTGTTTGTATGATATATTGTACACTGTATTTATCACATCTCCTGGTGAATTGAATTGGCACCATGCAGTAGGCGGAGTCTCAAATGTTTGTCTAAATCATTTGGAGAAATAGGAGGTTTAAGAAATGGGGTATAATATTATCATTGGGTGCCAATCATAAATAAATAAATAAATACTTCATTATCCGCTACCCTTATGGGGCTTTTCAGGGATAATAAAGCAATAATTCAAATAGAACATAATATGTTTAATAATCCCAACTGGTAGAAGGCGAACCAGTTGGCTATCTACAAGAATGGCTGAGGATTTGAACTCGGGACAACCGAGAACAAATCCAGCCAGTGGCCAGAGTGGGAATCAAACTCGGGACCGGCGGATTGTGAGGCCAATGCACTGACCACTTGGCCACACTGCCTCCTCAAAAGAAATCTCAAAACAGTTTAGGACTGGGGGATACTTCTTGAACCCTATAACTTTGTTCCAGTCCCAATGGTGTTGTCTGTCTTGTAGAGAGTCTTTTGTAATTATTGTTCTGTTTTTAGTTGCCTTTAGGATATATGATATGGATAATGATGGCTTCATATCAAATGGAGAACTCTTCCAAGTTCTTAAGATGATGGTAGGAAACAACCTCAAAGAAACACAACTTCAACAAATTGTGGATAAGACAGTAATAAATGCGGACAAGGATGGCGATGGAAAAATCTCTTTTAGTGAATTTTGTGCTGTAAGTTTAACTCCACTAAATTTTCCCACAGATGTAGAATATTGTTTATGGAACACACCTAAATACTTACATAAAGAGTGCAGACCAGCACCCTTTAGCTATAACTTTACTAGTCACATTCCTACAGTAATGCTTCAATGTTGCAAATGCTTTTCAGGTAATCAGATGTATGTATATACTCTAGATGTACATACATACATTTGTTATTTGCATCACCCTGTACATATATGCGTAATAATTTTTTCAGACAGCAAAAATGCTTCAAGAAACTTAGAAGAATGATTATAGGAAATCTCAAAGCATATGAGCAACAATTATTTTAAAATCAAAGTAATAACAGAATTTTAGTAAATTTGCATTATGAGAACATTAGTTAAATGTCGGGATCTGTGTACAGGGAGTTTTATTATTGAAAAAATGGAGTTTTGCTAACATAAGAGGCTTCCCTGTCGTCAAACGTTGGGGCTCCCTTTATTCCACCCCTGCAATGCTCCCTTAATTAATAGTAATTCTTGATAATTTTTTACAGGTTGTTGGTAATATGGATGTTCATAAAAAGATGGTAGTGGACGTCTAACAGGACCTAAATGAACAAAGTCTTTGAACTATTTATTATTCTTATTTCCAACCCAAGACATTTTTTAACAAAAATAGAGCAATATTCATAATCTGAAACTCTGCTTTTGCTGTGGACCAGGACATGTTTCGGATATCACTTTGCTCTGTAAAGCAAGATGATTGCCAAAGGATTGTCTCACAAGTCATAGAGCTGCAAGGTACTTAGATGCCAGAAATTTAAAAGACTTGGGATAATAATAGATGCGTTAACAATAGTTACGATGGCAATAGACCTGATTTACTTTGCATGCTTATTGCCCATCACAAATCACATTAAATTCTCATAAAGATTACTTACTTTGTCCTTTAAAATAGGACATGCATTCAAGATTGCATGTAACTTTGATTAATTTTGAAAGAGGCAGCTTCCTACAGTGTAGAGTACCATCTTGTAATCTGAAATAAGACGATAAGCCAAAGCAGATGAGGTCTATTAGTCTGGCCATTAACATGCAATGAAAAGTAACCAGGGTTTATAATGGGATTTAGAAATCTTGAACTAGGTCTTGGAGAGATTGTCTCTCTACTTTTTAGAAATGTAACTCTTTTGCTTCCAGAGTCCATCATCAATAGATGTATTTAGGTTTCAAGTTGAGTTTACAGAGAAAATCGTATGGTTTTACCATTCAGAATTCAGATTAAACCTCTAACAGTGAAATTTGTTGTACTTAAGCCAATCCACAAAGTTTTCCAAATCATTTTGACCTGTTTTCTACAATTGCAGAAGCAATTAAATGCCAAGCTGATGTGAAGGTGAACACATGCATTTTCGAGGTTCTGTTTAAGATTGCGTGAAATGAAATCTTGCATTGTGTTGGATTTGATTGGTCTTATATTACATGAAACCCACCATATCTTTGTAAAACAAGAGTTAAAAAAAGACGTCAACTTTGTTTATTGGCAATAGTACATGGTACAGTCTATACTATGTGGTAGTTATTATGTATAATTAAATTGCATTATTGTAGATTTTCAGCTCTTTCGGAAGCAAAATGGTTAATTAATTCATTATTGTTAAAACATGTCTGCAAAGGCGTGGTTCTTTTTAACATTTTTTTTGCTTTGGTTGGTTGACTGCATCTTGTTAATACAGAAAAACCTGTATAAAGGGGGCACCCTTAAGAAACTCAGTAAATCGCACCCTTTATTTACCTCTGTTCTTAAATTGCTTCAAATGTGAGCTCTCTGTTTATGGAAGGTACTTTGGACCGTGCAAAATTTACCGCTGATAAATACATGTACATCCCAAGCAAACCTGAAACACATCCATAGCTTCTTGGGCACATTTTACCATTTTCTCCTAAAACATGGCTCTTAACCACCTAACCTTTATTCATACCGTGACGGATCCTAGGGGGTTCAGTGTTATCCAGACCATCTTCCTCACTGACTCACTTTACAACCCAGAAGATGTTTTCACAAGGTAACTGTGTATCACAGCATTTTACAACTGAAACTGTTTCTGCTGAAAGATCAGATGCAACTTTCTCCTGTTATTTTGACCATGAAACTTACATTACATTTCACCTCGCTACTTGGTTTGTTCAACTCCCTGTGGACTAAACAGTCTTTACTCTTAACCAACAAAACGTTTGCTCCTTTCATAACAAGGCAAATGCTCTCTTGCCAACCTCTGTCTGGTGTGTAATTCAAAGAAATAGAGGAAAGTTTAAAAGATGAAAAACAGATTCATCAATGTACACATTCCCCTTCCACCACCTCATCAAAATACCTGGACCTGCCCTTTTAATGGTTAGCATGTGCAATGTTTTGATCCTAGACTACATGTTCCTGTATGCTGTGGTTTTTTATTTTTCTCTCTCTCTCTTAGAAATTTGTTGCTCTAGAAATTCGACCACCAAGGCCCTAAAAGTGAATCTCCCTCTAAATGATTAGGAACTCATGGGATTTATCTTAAAAATCTTGGTCACAAATAAAAAATGTCTTATTCATATTAATAATAGGTAAATAATGGGACAGAGAAACTCCCTTATGCTAATTTACATATTAAATGTGCTAGCCTAGGTTATCGTTGTTTTATTCTTTATACCTGCAAATTTTACTAATGTTTGAATTTTTACTTGCTATCTCTACATTTGCACCCCACGTACCCCCCCCCCCCCACCCTCACCCATTGATCCCCGAAAATGAAAAAAGTGAAAAAAATTAGGAGGGAAGTTTTTTTGAATCAAATTCAAAAAAAAAAAAATTTAACTTTTTTTTTTCCTAAAAATCCTTTTCCTGGTACACCCCCTTTTCAACCCTTTTGAAGGATTTTACTCTTTAAAACTGGGTTAAAAGGGGGTGCTTAGGGGCTGTGTGTG